TTATTGACAATTTTTTTGTTTTCATTGAAATATTTGAAATTTATAATCAAAATATTATTGTTAAAAGTAAACACTGCGATTTGTTAAAACTGTTATTGTTCATTTATTCTAATTTTATTGTTTAATTGTTTATGTAATATAGCCAATCATATTACCAATAGATTCTGCGGATTCTGCTAAATCAGAAAATCAGCTTTTCTGCTTAAGCAGTCAAATCTGCACAGATTCTGCCACCGCAGATTTCTGGATATACTAGTCCAAACGTCGATAGAATAAAATGTCATCAGTTATGCACTTTGTATTCTATATATTGTACTGCGACCATTTTTTTTCACATTACGTCAATGACACATCTGAAATGCATCCACAAAATTTTGTGACACATTACATTACATCAAAATAGTGCTTTACCATTACATCATGTAATACAATATCAAATCCTTTGGTGGTAATTTTCTTTCTGCAACTGATGTTACATTTATCATATTTATAAACAGATAGAATGGCAAAAATGGCAAAACCAATGTTAGAATTTACAGAATTTTATAGTAAAGTATGTGTTGCTAGAAGCGTAAAATTTATCACTGTCGAAGCAAGTAAAGAAGAAATTAACTTGTCAGAGAGTGACCAATTTTCTCATAACTTAGCAACGATATTAGCAAGAGATAGTGAAGTGGTAGCGGTTAACTTGAAAATTTTACCCAACAAGTATAAAGTTTACATTTCAAAGAACAGTAGATGGCTTAATAAAGATACTAGATATATTAACAAAATTAAAGGACTCATGAAAAATTTATCTAAAGATAGTCCCATGACATTCGAACAAGTAGCTGAAAGAAAGGATATGTTTGCTTTATTTTTTAATGTATTGGAGTACTGTTCTGTTAAGTTAGGACGTAGATTAAACAAACTTAAGAAAAATATAAAGGATAATAAAGACAAACCATATATTAAATCTTTTCTAGAATTCCTAAGATCTTTTGAGATTAACGTTGATAATCTAGATGAGAATAACGAACCATTTGGTGAAAAAAGATCGAAGTTCAAATATGATATGATCATAGCTTGTAACGAGTATTATAAAGACAATAAAAATAACAAAAATTATCCGCAAAGATTCCTAGAACACATCAAAAAAATGGGATCCTATTCTGCATTTGTGATGGATATTGTTAATTGTGCACGTAAAGAAAGTATAAAATACCATTTTCTTGTATAGACTTGCATTTATTGGATCCTATTCCTAACGATCAACCCATATTTTCATAGACTGATATTATCAAAAAGTTTATTCCTATTCAAAAGAGTTTCAAAATCTTCAAGAAAAATTGTTTAAAAAATAGAGAGAGACTAAACGATATATATGGTAGCACATGTAGACAATTGGATTGTGGAAAAATTAATCACATATATTTACACGCAGAGTTGAACGTATTAACTAATACTGACATATTAAGCAAGAAACATAATAAATTTATAGTAGTATCTAAGAAATGTTGTTACTTATGTGAATCATACATCAAATTTTTACAATCCAAAGGATATAAAATTACCGTTTCTGAGGGACATAATAAGTTGTATCACAGATGGAAACTTCTAAATACTTACAGTAATGAATTTGCGAAATTTGCTCTATGTAACCTTGATCAGATCATAGAGAGTGAAATAGAACAATATACTAAAATAATTGCTAAATCCGATAGTGATAGAGAAAGTGCTGATTCTGATAATCCAAAACGAAATCATGTTGCTATGAAGAAGGTGGGCAAAGGTGCATTTCAGATTAAGACTAATTATAATCTATGATTCAGATATTCAGTAATATTGCTTGATTAACAATTTTTTAGTAAATAAAGGAGCATTTTTATCAATAAAACAAAAATTGCTACATTTAAAAAGTTAAATGAAATCTTTACTCTTATAAATGAATTGTCAGTGCTAAACTAACAAAATCTATTTGAGTGGTAGACGTTCAAAGGGAGAAAATATTTTGATACCTAACTAATCCTTCCCGCTTCTTAATATCACCTAATGCTAATTTTTTCAATATCTATGCATCTATCTAATATGCTTCTATAATTTTTAAAGTAAATTAACTATATCTGTTATTGTTTAAACCAATTCCGCCAATATTCTGAGATGATAATATTTCAGATCTATTGCAAAATTCCAGAGCAAAATAAACAACATCTCTGATTCACTCTTACCTTTATATTTTGTTTTCTTGATATTTCACATTCACTGTATGCTCTTGGATAGAATTCACTGCTAGACTTTCTAATTTGCGATCCAAATTTTGAAAATTGTTGAGAAATTTTTATACAAGACTGGAATTATCCTCTGAAAAATGCCAAGAAAAAAAAGTTTTCATTATTACACGTGATAAATTTGGAACGTAGCCAAAAAAATACATGAGAAAATTTCTATGCTAAATAAAGCTACCTAAGAACCTATACTAAATATATATTTTTTCACTGACTTTGAGTACATGTATGAGAAGTCGACTCCGCCCTATGATCAAAGATTTATTTCTTATGTATTATCACATCATGGGTGCAATCGTAAAGAATCTTCACAATCAAAAATCATGTGAGTATTCAGGTCAAAATTCAGAACTAATAAACACATCCACCTAAACACTTATCATGTAATCTCAAGACGTCATAAGGTATTTCCTCATCAGTGATTGTTGCACTAAAAATTTTTTATTTGATATATGCAAGGAATAAATATAAAAGTTTGGATCTCTGCCTGTGATACATGAAGTTATTACGTTACTACGTCATTAGGTTCCATCCACCTATCTTCCTCTGCGAGATTACTCAATGACTTTACCCTTTCATCCCTCTACATGAAATACCATTATCCGCAGCTGTTATAACCTCCTTACATTATCCATATCATACTCATATGAAAGATAATCTAAACGGTGACTGTGCAAAGCTTCATCTTTTTTTCGGACAGTAGCATTTTGTTATAGTCTTTAATAACCTAAAATTTCGTCAGCATGGACGGACATATTTGATAACGCTCCAAATAAAAAAAATCATGTGTGCGTGAATGATTGTTCACAACTTCACGCTGATCACTTTTGCCTACATGCGAAAATAAATACAAATGTTCAGGACATTGCCCATGATACACGACGAAGTTTCTATGCTACTGGTGGCAGACTATTATACATAATTATTCTTTTTTGAAATATTATTTAACCTGTTGCTTCTTCATCACCAGCTCCTTCTCTATATCTACCCTATCCTTTAATAATCCTACGATAACCTCCATTACTCGCTTCACATTTTTACATAACTCCTTTTCTTCCTCTGAACCTTTTTCCAAGGCAGACTCAGTAAAGCGTATATTAAAAGGATTTTTACTTGTATAAGATACTCTGTTCAAGGCAAAAAGGATGAAATACCATTTTATGGCTATTGTAATAATCCTATAGATATAGTCGTAGTCATTCCTAAATGCTTCACTCAACTTACGTTTTCTCTTATTTTTATTTACCTGTAAGGCATTTTCACACTGGATCAGATTCTGCACAAATCCCATAACTATTTGATGTAATTTCCCTTTCGTGATGCAAATAAGTTCCTCAAGTGCCTTGATTATATAATCAACTCATCCAGTATTTTCTTTACTGACAACTTCGAGCTGAGGAGCTAAGGTAAGCTATTTATTGGTTATTCTTTGACAATATAAAGCGAAGCATGGAGAATAGCGGAAATATATTCATAACGCATAGCTTCATTACTATCAGCAAGTAAAGTTCCCATATTTCCCAACCTGCGTTTTATTTCCTTTATACATTGTTGTAACTCCTCTTCTTCGTCTTCGAGTTTGTAGGTCACCTATAAAGAAAAAAAAGTTAATGACTGTGTATGAAATTCCCACTTTTCCGACAAACTTACAAGGTATATGAATTTTATCAAGAAAAAAATTTTCAACTTCTCCCATTAGGCTTAGCTTATGAGGGAACTCACCGATGGAAATTGTCTGATCATTGCTATACCATTTCCATCTATATCATACTTTTTCAATACTTCCTTCAAACTGCGGTATGACGAGAACGCTTTTAATTTTTTCTCCTTACAGTCCTTAGCAAACTTTGCAAGTCTCGTCGCTGGTCTACCCTTTATGCCATAATCTTAAAAATCTTGCTTAGTCATGTCGGGGAAGTCCTGGCCACTCACTCTCTCATTTTCGATTATATTAAAGTCGTCCTTCACAAGGTTTAGGCCCTATTCCTTCAGAAACTCTATAAGCTTAGCTGTATCATATTTTTTAATTTCGTCCACCAATGAGACTGTCTCATTTCCAACAATAGTAGTGGAGATAGAAGCTGGAGTATAAGGTGTACTAGTTTCAGACATAGTGTTATGTTTTTATAGGAATATTAGGCTCGGATAAAAAAATAGTGTTACTTTCCGGAGTGAGATAAAATTCTAGGATGGGAAAAAATAAGCGCTAATATATGTTTTTATATCGCACAGGCATTGCATGATCCCTTTGGGACTGCATCATTACACGTAACCCATTTCTCATGTACATTTGATAAAATAATAATAATAATACTTTATTTATGAAATAAAAAATATTGCCAGAGTAACTATTATATAAAAAATGTGAATATATCGTTACATGATATAAATATTTATTCTGACCGGGGTAAACAGTAAAATGGAAGTGCTCTGCTTTAGGTTCCTCAGTAAAAATATCGATAAAATTCTCATGCATATCCATTTTCATTTCAATAATGCTTCGGCTTGAATTATACAAATTTTGAGAGGGATTTTATTAAATGGTATCCCAATCTACTTTGAATTGCAGTCTCGAGATCACTATAATGACCACTTCTGTGAATTGTAATCGATTGCATTACTTTAATACATGGAATATTCATAAGTTTGCCTATAGGAATGATAAGACAATTGATAGTAATGTTGTTATTGTCTATTTCGACTCCTAAATGCAAGAATCCAATAGTGAGAAAATTGCTTGACCCACTCGCATTAAAGAATATATACTGTACATACCTTAATTTGTGTTATTTTTTACAGGAATATTTTTTGTGGAAAGTTGACTGAACTTCCACATACCCCTACATGCTTTATATCTTGCTAGGAAAAAATAGGGAATAAATATAGGTGATTAGCATTGTCATATGATACCAAGAGTTCTATGAAGGCACATGCAAATAGAATCCTCATATCTTTTCACATGTAGATCTACCAAAGAGACACATAGTTAGTCTTACGTCTAGCGATCTTGAAATTACAAAGTTCTCAGCCTTTTATAATATATGCTTTTATTGATACTATTTACTTTTACAGTAGGTTCTATATTGTGTGTAGATCTCCTTTCACATTTTTTTCATATTTGTTTGGGAATAAAGGTTAATATATTTTCTTTTCGAATGTATATGCAAGATTAATGTTATACAAATCCTGTCTAGTGATCGCTTATTTTTGTCGCACATAAATACATGTATTGAGACTCAGCAAATTCTTCTGAGCTGAAATGCTTTACATGATCTGATCCTAAAGGGCTCTAGGTCGATATAATAACCGATCACCACTCTAGAGTGATGGTCTAGCTAGAATACAGTATTCACTCAATCTCCTTGATAATTCGTCATTGATAAAATTACCTAAGGATGCAACATCTCTTGGTGTATCATGTTATATTCCAGATGCCTTGCGAGTTCATAGATCACATCTAAGACTCTATTATTTGGGAGAGGTATTTGAATCGACATGAAATTCTTGACATAGATATTTGGATTAAGAGAAATGAGCTGATCTATAGCTTCTTTGCTAATATTACTACACCCTTCCAAATTGAGGTACTTTAAATTAAGACATGAACCAGCAATTTCTTTGATAGTTATATCAGCAATTCAATAAAAACTAAGATTAAGATGCTGGAGCTTTAAACAGGAACGAATAATATTACAAATTGATAGTTCAAGAAACTCTGTGTGGTATGAAATATTTAGATATTCTAATTTATGGCATAACTGTGTGATTTTCCATAGATCTAGATCATATACTTCTTGAGTACGAAAGCTCCTAAAGGGACCTGACTGATCATCGCACAGATTGAGATACTTCAGATTCAGGTATAAACCCGCTATTAGTTCTAATGCTCTATTACTAAATCTTATGCTATTTATGGAACTCAAGTGGGTTATATTTGGGCATGAATGTACAATGCTTATGATTTTTTTATCTGAAAGTGAATAGTAGTATGATATTTTGAGATAAGTTACATTTGAGCAATAAATCAGCGTTTGCTTCCTACATACTAGCTTTATGAATTTTTTCAATCGAGAGAGATCCTTTGCACATTCTATCCTTATAAATTTATTTAATCGAGAACGATCCTTTGCACAGTAATTATAATCATTTGGAAAAGATTATTCAGGATATAAGTCTTTTCCTCTCAATTCAATACGCTTTCACAGAATAGATACACCGCATCTGTATCACAATTGGCAAACATATAGAGTGGAATAGAGGGATTTATCTATCGCTAAAAAATGTAAAATCTGTTCTAAATGTTCTGGTAAATAAAAGATGTTTGATTGCGCCATAAATAATATATGCTGTATCTTTAATCGAAAAAATAAATTTTCTGGGCTGGATCAGACTCCCAGATATTCACTCAGCTCAAAGTAATCGAACACGC